CAAAGTATTGGAGTTTCAGCCTTAGCATCAGTCCTTCCAATGAATATTCAGGATTGATTTCCTTTAGGATTGACTGGTTGGATTTCCTTGCCATCCAAGGGACTCTCAAGAGTCTTCTCCATCACCACAGTGCTCAGCTTTCTTTATGGTCCATCTCTCTCTCTCTCTCTCTCTCTCTCTATATATATATATATATACACACACACACACACACACACACACACACACACACACACATACATACACAGGCTGTGTGTAATCTTAGTTGTTACACTCAGGATCTTTTCAATTTCAGTCTGTGACTTTTAGTTGTGGCATGTCGGATCTTGGCTCCCTGACTAGGCACTGAATCTGGGCTCCCTGCATTGGAAGCATGAAGTCTTAACCACTGGACCACCAGGAAAGTCCCCCAGGGATTATAATATGTATTTAGTATTTTACCTCTTCACATAGCCAGTAGAAACCTTACCATCGTATAGGTCCGTTTACCCTCCCCATTCATCTTGTAGTTTTCATGTTTATCACACCTATATACACTGGAAATTCACTGAACCGTGTTATAATTTCTGCTTTCAATTGTCAGACATATTTTTTTTTTCGGACATATTTTAAAGAACTTAAGAGAAGGATAGTCTATTTTATTTACCACTTTTTCTCTTTCTCATTCTGATGTTCTAAATTTCTTTAAGGTATTATTTTCCTTCTATTTGAAGAAAATTTTTTAGCATTTATTTTAGAATGAGTCTGCTGCAGACAAATTCTCTTAGCTTCATTTGAGAATGTCTTTACTTCACTTTCATTCTTGAAGAATATTTTCATTGGATTTAGAATGCTTTTTAAATTATGGAGGTAAAATTTGTGATATATAATCCACCATTGTAACCATTTTAAACTGCACTGGTCAGTGGCTTTTAGTACCTTCGTAATGTTGCTCAACCATTGTCAGTATCTACCTCTAAAACACTTTCATTACCCGCCCCCCCCCCCCCCCCCCCCCCGCCGCAAAACAACTCTATTCATGAATCAGTTACTCCCTAGCCCCACTTCCCCCATTCCCACTAACTTACTTCTGTCTCTGTGGATTTACCTATTCTGGATACATTATATAGATGGAAATCATATATTACATGATCGTTATATCTGGCTCCCTTCCCATGACATGTTTTCAAGGTTTATCCACACTGCAGCTTGTATTGATACTTCATTCTTTTCTGTGATTAAATAATGTTCCATTGTATGGATATATCACAGTTTGCTTTTCCATTCACCAGTTGACAGACATTTGGGTGGTTTTCAGTTCTTAGCTACTATGAATAAATACTGCTATGAACAATTGTGTACCAGTTTTCGTGTGAACACCTGTTTTCAATTCTCTTGGATATAGATCTAGGAGTAGAATTGCTAGGTCATATAGTAATTCTCTGTTTAACTTTTTGAGAAGCTGCCAAACCATTTCCCACAGTGGCTGCACCATTATATATTCCCACCAGCAATGTATCAGGGTTCCAATTTTCCCACATCCTTACTCTTACATGTTATTTCCTGTTTATTTTATTTTTTTATAGCCAAAACCTAATGGGTGTGAAGTGGTATATCAATATTTTTATTTGCATTTTCCTAATAATGAATGATGTTGGGCATCTTTTCATGTGCTTATTGGTCATTGTATATTTTCTTTAGGCAATTATCTGCTCAAGTCTTTTGCCCGTTTTTGAATTGGTTTGTCTTTCTGTTGTTGAATTGTAAGAGTTCTTTATATATCATAGATACTAGATTTATGATAGATAAATATTTTCTCCCATTATGTAGGTTGTCTTTCCATTTCTTTGATTTACAAAAGTTTAAACTTTTGATAAACTTCAATTTATCTATTTTTTATTTTGCTGCTTATGCCGTTTGTGCATATCTAAGACATCCGTATCAAATTTAAGATCACAGAGATCTACATCTATGTTTTTTTCTAAAAGATTTGTTGTTTCAGCTCTTATAGTTGGGTCCTTGATATAGAATATATAATAAAGAATGTGTATATATATATATATATATATATTCTTTCTCAGGTTGTTTTCCATCATGGTTATTATTACAAGATATTGAATATAACTCTCTGTGCCATATATTTAATAGCAAATCATTGTTGCTTATCTATCTTATATATTATTGTATGTATCTGTTAATTTCAAATTCATAATTTATCCCTAACCCCCCTTTCACTTTGGTAACCATTAGTTTGTTCTCTGTGTCTGAGTTTATTTCTGTTTTGTAAATAAGTTCATTTGTATCATTTTTTAGATTCCACATATAAATGATATGATATTTGTCTTTTTTTTCTGACTTACTTCACTTAGTATGATACTTTCTAGGTTCATCCATGTTGCTTCAAGTGGCATTATTTCATTGTTTTCTATGGCTGAGTAGTATTCCACTATATATCATTGTTTGTGTGTGTATATATATATATATATACACACACATATGTATATCACATCTTTAGCCATTCATCTGTCAAGTACTATACTGTTTTGATTACTGCAGCTTTGTAGTAAATTTTGTAATTGGGAAGTATGACTTCTCTCACTTTATTCCTCTTTTAAAAAATTGATTTGACTGTTAAAAGTCCCTTGCAATTCTGTATAAATTCGAGGATTGACTTGTATAATTCTGACAAAAACACAGTTGGAACTTTGATAAGGATTGTACTGAATTGTGTATAGAATTCTTGGTTCAGTTTTTTTTTTTCTTTCAGCGTTTAAAAAATCTTGTTCCTCCTCCTTTTAGCCTCCACAGTACCTGATGAGAGACCTCCAGTCATTCAAATCAAAGAGTAATAAGCAGGAAATTTGTCCCCCCCCACCGCGCCCAGTCTGAAGACTTCTGCTCCTATGTGTCTTTCAGGGCTTTGGCACCTACCGGCATCATGCTTCCACTTCAGTACTGCCTGGGACTGGGGTGAAAACAGCAAAAAAAGAGAAAAAAAACCCAACAAAAATAGGGAACCCTTTCTGATCCTGAGTCATGTCCACTTTTCCCTTCCACAGACCAGAAAAAGAAGGTTTCTCTGGGAGCTGTTTCTGTGCTCATCTTTATGTATTTCTGGGTTTTGAGCTTCCTTTGGGTCAGGTGATATTGAAGGGGAAAAACTGATAACCTCAACCCCGGTTGGGTAAAATTCTGAATTCTGGCATCCTTCCCCCATCAGCCCATTGTGTGTGTGCGCGTGCATGTGTGTGTGTGTGTGCGGGCGCGCGCATGTGAGCTCAGTTGTGTCCGACTCTTTGCAACCCCATGGACTGTAGGCTTACCAGGCTCCTCTGTCCATGGGATTCTCCAGGCCAGAATATTGGAGTAGGTAGCTGTTCTCTTCTCCAGGGGATCTTCCCGACCCAGAAATTGAACCGGGGTCTCCGGCATTGCAGGTGGATTCTTTACCAGCTGAGCTACCAGGAAAGCCCCATCAACTTATTACCACTTACTTTTCAGGGTCCTCGGAGAGCTACCTGCTTCATACAGTCTGTGTGGGATTTATAGCTGTTATTTAATGGGGGAGGCGGGTGGGGCATGCTTACTCCATCCACTGGAACTGGAACCTCTCTTAAACTGTCTTTAAGAGGTCCTTGTCAAATATGGATGAAACACTTACATTAAACTACTTTTAATTGAAATATAGTTGATTTACAATGTTGTACTAGTTTATTAAACTCTTTTAAAAAATATGTATGTATTTATTTGGCTGGGCCAGGTCCATGCAGGATCTTTTAGATGAGACATGGGGGATCTTTAATTGCAGCATATGAAATCTTTAGTTGTGACATTTGAATGCTTAGTTATAGCATGTGGAATCTAGTTCCCTGACCAGGGATCAAACCCGGTCCCCCTGCATTGGGAGTGTGGAATCTTACCCTCTAGACCATCAGAGAAGTCCCTCATCTCTTCTTGAGCATGCTTCACATATCTTTTCCTAGTTCTTGTCTTTAAATTTTTAGTTTTCTTTTCTTTACATTTTCTTACAGTAAATTTATCAATAATTTCCTTTATGGATCAGGCTTTTGTATTCTATTTAAGTACTCTTTTTCAACACTGAGATCACAAAGGTATCCTATTTTCTTTTTTCCTCATATTTTCTTCTGAAACTGTAAATTTTTTCTTTTTAAAATTTATGTCTTTTGAGCACCTGGAATTTATATGTTCTATATGGTGTGAAGTAGCCATCTAATTTTTTTTTTCCAGGTGAATAACTGGTTCCCTAGTACCATTAACCAAGTAATTCTTTCCCTACTGATGTTTAGGGATATCTCCTCTGTCATATATCAAATTTCCAAGGATATGTTGGCTTCTGGGCTCTTTATTCTATTTGTCTTTATCTGTCTTTTCTATTTGTCTTTATCTGATCGTCTATTCCGACTCAGTTATTTTATTTTTTAATATTTATTTATTTATTTGGTTGTACGAGGTCTTAGTTGCAGCACATGGGATCTAGCTCCCCAACCTTTGATCGAACCCAGGCTCCCTGTATTGAGAGTGTGGAGTCTTAGCCACTGGACCACCAGGTAAGTCTCTTAACTCCTTCAATTGCTTCTTTTGGTGTTTACCTTTGTATCTCTAAATAATATGCTTATATTCCTACCTCTTTATTTTTCAGCTCTGGGTACTACTGATAGACTTCCCTCCATGGACAATAAGGCTTTAGCACTCTTTCCACTCCTCCTCACCACATGCAGATGCTATTTTGTCCCTTCATCCTCCTGATACCATTGTCCAAGGGCCCATGAGGGCAGAGGCAGTGGGGGTGGTGAGACTGTAGAGATAAACTTGGGAGATAAATAGGAGGTGGTGGATTGGATGGACGTCAAGGGTGATTTTTAGTTTCTAGAAAACTCGTGGAAGGCGATGTCATTTGCTGAGCTTAAGGCATGCAAAGGTCTGTGAAAATCCGTTTTATTTTACAATTCTGTCCGTGGATGGCTCTGGGTGTCCTCTTCCATGGTTCTGGTCTGACTCACCTGACCGATGCCTGTTTCTGAGCGCTGGCTGATGCGGGCTGAAACCTGGGGAATCGTGGATGGACCTGGGCTGAGATAGTAAACAGGTCTGCCCTTAGGCTGGGCTCTGGGGGGCGCATTCACCATCATCAACGTACAGGAAAGACTAGTCCTCAGGCTGGCATTTCCGATCCACAGGGTGTGCGGTTGCCCAGATTCTGCCTGGAGCTTGGGCCCATTAGAGAACACTAGGGCGTGGGAGGCAGAGAGAGTCAAGTGTCTGAGAAATAAATAAAGATACACAGAGACAAACAGACAGACCTGGGAGAGCTGTCTCTCCTTTCAGGATTGGTCAGAATTCTGTCCTTTGCTCCCTGGCTAGCAATTTTGCTTTTAAAGGTCCTTTCTCACTTGGGATCTAGCCTCCTACCATAGATCTCCCTCATGGGAGAAATCCACAGAAGGAGAAGGTAATTAAACAATCCAGTGGCTGGATAGAAATGAGCCTTGGAGTTAGGAAGATAAACAGCCTTCTCTGTGGTCCCACAGAAGATGCTGGTCGAGGGTGGTGGCGGGACCAGGGTCTGCGATGGTTCCTCCTCTGTCCCTTCTCTCTCCCACCTACTCGCAGTTTCTTCCTGAACCTCCACTCCTTCCCCCACCCCACCCCGCCCCAGCCCAGGCTGTTGTCTGACTTTGCAGCAGTCAGAGCAGGTTCCAGAAACATTACTGGAGTCCAGCGGAGTCAGCTCAGATCCTAGAAGTGATGGGGAACAGGCTAAAACACAGCTTGTCCTGTCTGGGCCTCACCCTAAGCTCTGATGGAAGCAGATGGGTGCTGCTGTTGTGGTCTTGTTCACACTCTTACTTGTATCATTTATTTTAGGCAGAAACAGAATAATAGGATGTTGTCATTCAGTCGCTCAGTTGTGTCTGCCTCTGCAACCCCATGGACTGCAGCACGTCAGGCTTCCCTGTCCTTCACCACCTCCTGGAGACTGCTCACACTCATGTCCGTTGAGTCAGTGATGCCCTGTAAAATCACAATCCAACTCTGCATTCCATACATGAGGATCAGGGAGGTTGAATCACTCATTCAAAGTCAAGGCAGGGGCGTTTCACTTTGCTCTCCCCTTCCCCACTCCACCCCTACCTCCTGATGTAGTAAGCTGGGGTACCACTGCCAGCCAAGATACTGACCACCTTTGTGGGCAGGCCTGAGAGTCCCTTGGTCCCATGGGGACAGGCAGTCAGGGATCAGAGTTTGGGGCTCACATCGAAGTCTGGGGTCCACGAGCTTCTCTGTAGCCACGAACACACGACAGACAGACAGCTTCCACTCGGTCAGGTCTCACCTCTGCAGGCCCCTGCACCTGGGACTGGAAGAATGAATAGGAACCTTGTTTGGTAGGAATTTCCTTCCTCTGCTGTTTGCTTTGGGTTTTTTTTTTCCCTCCCTCTCCATTCCTGGCTGCTAACCCAATATTTGGCTTTCTGTGAGCACTAAATATAATTCTTCATTTAACCTCCAGAATCATGGTTTCCTACCTGCTTCCCACGACCGGATCCACAGCCTGGAATGAAAACAGCACCCCGAGGGCATCAGCCGCTCAGGGCTGAGAGTGGGGGCGGGTTCCGGGAGGGGGAGGAGCAGGGGGATGGAGGCAGGGAGGCCGCGGAGGCGCGGGCAGCCTTCACCCACGCTGGGCGTCTTAGACCCCTCACTGGCTTTTGTGCTCGCTCCCTGAAACCTGGGCCTGGATCCTGTCCTTTCTTACCCCCAAAAAGGATGCCGTGTTCCCACCCACAAGCCACCTCCACACACCTCGGCATTCCAGGGCCAGAGAAAACAAACAAAATCCGGTACTCGGGACTCGCCCGCCCGCCACCCCCACGGATGCCTGTAGGATGCGGGTGCGGGGGCTCCTTGCGGGGCACCGCCCCCAACTTTCCCCGCTCTCCTCCCTGTGACCAGTCGGGGCAGGTGAAAGCTCCATGGAACTGGGCAGTGGAAAATTCCCCCCAGCTCCTCCTGCGGAGGAGCCGGAGCAGCTGCTACTGAACACCAGGGCTGGTCCGGCACCTGGTCCCCGGGTCCCCCGCCGGCTCGGCCCCAGCTGCGGAGAAGGGCGGGGGACGCGGGCCGCAGGGCGCCGGGAGCCCGGCTCCCCGGGCGCTGGCCGGTGTTAATGCCGGTTACAAATCTCCTGAAATCACGCGCGGTTTCGCAGACTTGGGGAGCCCGTGACAGGACATTTCGTCTCCCTCTGGTTGAGCTAGCCAACAGGAGACGGAGCTTCCCACCGCCTGATTTACAGCCTCGGCGTATTTTTGACACACACATCACCCCGGAGGGCGAGGCTCAATTAGGGCCGAGATGCAGACGCGGTGAAGCCGCCGGAGCGCTTCCTGCCGGGCGGGGAGCCGGCTGGGCTCACACCCGGGGACGAGGGGGCCAGAGGGCAGGGGCAGCACTCTTCACCCCGCCACCCTGAAATGCGCCTGGCACCCCGGTGGGCCGTCTCGGGGCCTGAGGTGGACGGTGGGTGGGCAAGACTGGGGACCGTGGGTGAACCGGGCCGTTCTCACCTCCCTCTGCCCCCATCCCCCGCCTCACCTGAACCCACCCTCATCTCCACCCGGGGGGTCTGTGCGCACCCTCGCCAGGCGGGGCCTGTGGGAGCCGCTGAGGGGACCCGGGAGCCATAAGGGCCTCGTCCTGGGCTCCACGAGGAAAAGACAGAACAGCAGGGCCTGCAGCAAAACGCAGAATGCAGGTAGTGCCCTGAAAGGTACAGAGGGGCGCCCTGGGGGCAGAGGAGGAGATGGTGGCCATGTCTGTGCCTCCGCAGATGCCCCTCTGCTAGGGCTGAGATGGGTCTAGGGCTGAGGTGGGTCTGTGGAGAACCCCCTCACCCCCACTAAAACCTGCCCAGAGCAGCTCCTTTTCACTCGTGGATGAGCTCCACCCAGGCGGCAGGGGCCGCCCGTTTTTCAGGAGCTGCTGGGTCTCTTCAAGCCGGCACCAGGCCGGCGTCACCCCTCTGCCCACCCCACTGTCCCATCAGACGGAGGGAGGGTGCTTTGGGTGTGGGTTCCACTCTCACCTCTTGTGACGGGGTCACTTGGCTCTCCCTATAAGACTTCTGCAGATTTGACTGATCTAACTGACCAGCTTTGGGGGTGGGCGGAGGGTCCCCTTGGGTGCTTCCCACTCCCAGAAGAGGGCATGTGCTTAACCTTCCCTCCCCGTGGTCTGCCCGGTGATGCCTGGCTCTCCCCCTCCAGCCCCAGCTCCTACCGGTACCCTCCTCCAGACCACGGGCAAGTCTCCCCTTGCTCCCCATGATGCTCCCCTTGCTACCCACATGATGTGGGTACCACTGCATTCCACTCGGACATCCAAGGAGGGTGATCGCGGTACCTGGACAGAGAGATGAAGGAGATCCCGTCTCGCTTGAGGAAGTCAGAGCTGGGAGCTGGGGTGGAGAGGTACCATTACTACCTGCAGTGAAGAGGTAGGTGATACGAAACTCAGATTCTCCACGGTTTGTCTACATTCTTACTATTGGCTGGTGGGACTCGCTCTCGAGTCTTACTCTTGCCACTGGGTTCTTGGGCAACTTTCCCCTCCATGAAAGACCCGCCTCATTGGGTTTTGGTAAAGAGCAAACGTGTAACAGCTTATGTCTGGCACATAGCAGGCAGACTGTGAGGTTAGATTTCTTTTCTTGGGCAGATGAATACATTGTATGTTTACATGAAGCTCCCTGAACATTGACAGAGACCATTTTCCTGCCTCCAGCCCTCTCCCTTTGCCTTGGTTCTTTATGAGGGTGAGGGGGGCTGGGGTTAGGCTGGGGAAAGGAGGAGGGTGCCGCCCACAGGGTGGGAGAGAATCTGGGCTTTATTAACCCAGGAACTCCATCCTTGTCCCATCCCAGAGGGCAGAGGCCGGGCAGGTGGGTGTCCCGCCCTGCCTGCTGGCGGAGGCAGTTTATGGATTTGGTGACAGATTCCTCCGAGGAGATGAATGAAGCAATTGTGCACTTGGTGTAGAAAAGATCCCAGATAGTGGAGATGTTTTCAATGGCAATAACCCTGAGACGTAGTGTTTCACCGAGTCAACAAACAAGAGCTATCGGCCTGGCTTCCCTTTGATGGGCCTGCAAGTACTTGTAAGCCTTGGGAGCTGTTCTTGGCACTGAGGTACCATGTTTAAAAGCTTTTATTCTCTTCTTCATTTTAATCACCCCTCCCACCTCCTGGAGGGATTCCTAACTCACATTCTTGGGCAACAAAGACAGTTAACGGAATCCCAGCGGGTGAAGTCCCAAACCAGAAAAACAGTCTTCACCGCAGCTCCACTGATACCCACCTCCTGGGCCAGCCTTCATCTTCAGAGATATCTGATGATCAGATTAGAAGGCATCTCTGAGGAGTTTAGGGGACTTTGTGGGGAAAAGGGCCCTCCTCACCTGCTTGTTTAACAGGACAGCTAAGGGCTGGACTAGGGCAGGGAAGGACTTGCAAAATGTTTGCTTGGTGAATATTGGATTTTTAAATATCTTCCACTGGAAGCCGGAGGTGAGGGGTGGGTGGGTGGGAGTGGTGGAGGATCTGGAGAGGGGTGTGTGCCCCGGGCTTGCCAACAGTGAAGGGCAGGCCACGCAATGTGGGGCCTCATTTGATGCTGTTGAGAGTTGCTTGTGAAAAAGCCTTGGCATGAAGCACTCCTGGTGGCCAGCCACGGAGCGGCAAGGATGTGACGAAGTGAGGGGAAGGGTGGAGGGGGTCGAGGGTAAGATTTGGAAACTGGAGGAGAAGACAACACTGGCCTAGAGATACCCAGAGGAAAATCACCCTTCCTTTCAAAGACTTAGAATCCTTCTATCCGCTTACTCCTTGGAAGGAAAGTATGACCAACCTAGATAGCATATTAAAAAGCAGAGATATTACTTTGCCAACAAAGGTCCGTCTCATCAAGGTTATGGTTTTTCTAGTGGTCATGTATGGATATGAGAGTTGGACTATAAAGAAAGCTGAGTGCCAAAGAATTGATGCTTTTGAACAGTGGTGTTGGAGAAGACTCTTGAGAGACCCTTGGATGGCAAGGAGATTCACCCAGTCCATCCTAAAGGAGATCGTCCTGGGTGTTCACTGGAAGGACTGATGTTGAAGCTGAAACTTCTGTACTTTGGCCACCTGATGTGAAGAGCTGACTCATTTGAGAAGACCCTGATGCTGGGAGGGGACTGGGGGCAGGAGGAGAAGGGGACGACAGAGGATGAGATGGCTGGATGGCATCACTGACTCAATGGACATGGGTTTGGGTAAACTCCGGGAGTTGGTGATGGACAGGGAGGCCTGGCGTGCTGCGATTCATGGGGTCGCAAAGAGTTGGACACGACTGAGCGACGGAACTGAACTGATCCTGCCTTAGGCGTCTGGAGAAGATACTCCAAGGCCAGACGTTCTGGTGTTACCAGAGATTGCTCAGGGGTTGCTGTGGGAATGAGTGAGCTTGGCCGAGGACATAGCTGGCCTTCCACCTCCGGGCTCTTGCTGGGTGACGTCTTGGCCTGTGGCGGCGGCCCAGGCCGGTGTCCTTTCACTGACACCACAGTCAGGCAGGGCAACATGGCGGCCCCTGGGGTGGGGGAGCGTAGGTCAGAAACAGAAACTGTAATTAAATCTTTTTTTACCCACCTCACCCCCATCAGGAAGTTATTCTCAGTGCTCAGTGAGGGGGAAGAAGGGGGCGGAATAGGAGCCAAAAGGCCGCTTTTGACCTTGTGGCCTTCCTGGTGATTGGGTGGCGAGGTTTTTAGGTTGAAGAAGAGATTTCCTTGAGCATCTTCTGAAAATAGTCACGGACCTCGCATCTGACTCCTTCCCAGATTCCACCGCTGCTCTGGGGGCAGACAAGAAGGCCAGAGCATCAAGCCCAGGCATCCTCCAGCCAGCTGCAGCTCCCAGTCCTCCTTCCTCCATCGTCGTCGGGGTCGGATGTGAACCGCATCCTGGAGACACAAGCCCTGGTCGCCTCACTTGCGAGGGCGGAGGCAGGTGTGGCTGCGGTGAGCCAAGGCCTTGTGTTTTCCAGATTGGTGGCCTTGGTTTTGGCGAAGCAGGGGTCTTGGAAACATGCTCCATCCACAGCTCCTCCGCCTCCTTCTCGCCTGGAGTTAAGACGAGGGTGAGAAGTCCAGGCCTGCGGATGCTGAGCGAGGAAGCAGAGACCGAGGATTAGCTGTTTTGCCAGGACTCTCCTTCCTGTCTTTCCTTCCCAGGGCTGTTGGGAAGAGCAGTCCATCCCTGCTTTGTCATCCCCCTGTGTGTTCTCCGCTCCATCAGCGGCCCCCCAGCCCTCTCCTCTTCCCCCCCAAACTGGAGCCCGGCCCAAGGAAGTGTGGCCAAGAGTGCAACTTGGTCCGGTCTCCTGCAGAAAGATTTCCAGCATCTCCCATTCGACCAAAGCCAAAGTCTGCAAAAAAAAAAAAAAAAAGGATCTGGGGTCCAAGTTCTTGGAACAAGGGCTGCAAACACTTCACCTTCCAGAAGAAAAATTACCAGCCACTGAGGGAGCTGCCTCCAAAATGGAGACCGAAGATCCTGTTCTTCTGCTCTAGCTGCTCCTTGGGGCAAAATCCTCTTCTGCTTGCACTTCTGTAAAAAAATCTAATGGGGGAGCATCTCTTCCCTTTGGTCCCTTCCTCTTGGAGCTCGCCCTCCCGCCCCCAGCCTGGAGCGTTTCCCACATGTGTATATGCGATTTCCTTTCCGCAGTGACTAGTTAGTCATCCTGACCGTGGCAGCACGCGTGACCTCACTGGCATCTCAGTGGTGGATGGACCGGCTGGGGAGGGGAGGAGAGTTCTGGCAGGGCCTTCATCCTTGATGGGGGCCGGCGGGGGCTGTCCAGTCTTATCCTCACATCTGGGGTACCATCCCTCCTCACCCTTCACTTCCAAACACTCCCCAGTCCTGCTCTCTGGTCCCCTTTAACATCACTCATTCTATCCTTTTCTCCATCCCCTGTCACCACCACCTGGCTGATCATCCCCCAGGTACCTGAGAGAGCCCTCCCTGCTCTTGGAGCCTGCTCCTTGCTCCTTCACTGTATGCCCTCCCTCAGGCCAGAGTGAGTTTCCTAAAGGTCCACTGTGGCCATGCCATCCCCTATATACCCACACTCCCAACACACATGCACCGTACTCACACATAGTGTCCAATGCCTAGTCTTGACTCCCTTTGGGGACCACAATTTCTAGGAAAACTTCTAGATGGACTCCTACCCTCACAGCTATGTCCATTCCAGCTCATACAAAAAGATGACTCTTAATCTGTTGTTTTTTTTTCTTCTCCTTCTATTTTCTTGCTATATCACACACATGCGGGATCTTAGTTCCCTGAGCAGGGATCGAATCCATACCTCCTGCACTGGAAATGTGGTGTCTTAAACCACTGGACTGCCAGGGAAGTCCCAGTCTCTCTGTTTTTGATGCTGTTGATTACTTCCTCCTTGAAAGGATCCCATCTGTGATGCTCACCCATAACATAAATTCTTCCTATTTTTTTAGTAATTTTTAAAGGAAAATTTAAAGAATCTACTCCTCTGTGCGCTTTGTGGAAAACCAAGTCCGTCTCATGCTCTCCTCCTGGGGAAAGTGCTTTTTGGGTATAAGCTAATCAGAACCACAGAAATTGGTTCAGGGGTGGGGATATCACCAAATTCAAGCCAATGAGCTTGG